TACCTTCTCCGCCAAATCCCGTTTTCTTTTGTGCCCTTATATATGTGTCGCAAGATTTTTCTTTCAAAGGTGGCTAATAACGTTTCCTCCCTTTTAGAGAGTGTCCAGGTTTCTGAACCGTATGTGAGTACCGGTCTTATTAAGGTTTTGTATATTTGGCATTTTGTTTTTCTGGAGACGTTATCTGATCTTAGTTGCCTAATTAAGCCATGGTAACATTTATTGGCAATAAATATTCTCCTCTTCACTTCCTCTGCAACGTTGTTATCAGACGTAACTAGGGATCCTAAGTATGTAAAGTTTTTTACCGCCTCAATGTTGTATTCTCCTATTGTTAAATTTGGCAGCTGCCTTATTTGTGCGTTTTTATTTGCAGGCATATATTTTGTTTTTGTCTGATTGATTTTAAGACCACTATTTTTTGCAGCTCGTTCTATTTGAGTGAATGCCTCTATCATTTCTCTTCTTGATCTTGCGATTATGTCAACATCATCTGCAAATGCTAGTACTTGCACGCTTTTATTAATTATTGTTCCTCGGGTATTAACTGTTGTGTCTCTTATTATTTTTTCAAGTATGATGTTGAATAATATGCATGATAGAGCGTCTCCCTGGCGTAGTCCCTTCTTCACATCTATTGTTTCCGTTAATTCGTTTTGTATCCGGATTTTACTTTCTACTTTTAGTGTTTCTTTTATCAATTCTATTAGCTGTGTTGGTATATTAAATTCTTTCATTGCTTTTGTTAGGAATTCTCGGTTTATATTGTCATATGCGCTTTCGAAGTCTATGAAGAGATGATGTGTGTCGATGTTATATTCACTTGTTTTTTCAAGGATCTGTCGCAGAACAAATATCTGGTCTATTGTTGACTTCTGTCTACAGAAGCCACATTGGTATTTGCCAACTATTTTTTCAGCGTATGGTCTAAGTCTTTCATACATTACGTTGGACATTATTTTGTATGCCGCATTCAACAGCGTGATTCCACGGTAGTTTTCACATTCTAACTGGTTTCCTTTTTTATGTAGTGGTACAATAATGCCGCTATTCCACTCCTTTGGTAGCTGTTTATTCAACCATATCTTTCTTATCAGCTCATGTATGGCTTTAAGTAATGCGTCTCCTCCTTCTTTCAGTAGCTCCGATGATATTTGATCCGATCCCGGTGATTTATTGTTCTTTAATTTGTCCACTGCTGTTCTAATCTCTGCTATTGTTGGTGGACTCTTTTCTCTGTTGTCTGCTTGGTCTAACGGTATATCAGGGTTCATCTCCGTCCTATTCACCCCAAGCTTTTCCTTAAAATGTTCTGTCCATCTTCTAAGTATCTCTTGCTGTTCTGTCAATATATTACCCTCCTTATCTTTACACATCGTTGTTCTCGGTTTGAACTCTTTTCTGCTTTTGTTGAGTTTCTGGTAAAATTTTCTTGTCTCTGTTGGTTTACTTAGTTCTTGTAGTTCTTGAAGTTCTTTGTTGATATATTCTCTCTTCTTTCTTCGGTGAATTTTCTTTTCTTCTTTACGTAGTTGTTTATATTCTTCCTCTGCTTGTCGGGTTCTGTGCCTCTGTTGCATCTGTAGATATGCTCTGTTTTTTCTTTCTGTTATAGTTTGACATTCTTCGTCAAACCAGTGATTCGTTCTTGTTCTTCTTTCTTTACCTTCCATGCCCAACACCTCTTTAGCTGTTTCTTTTATGATTTCTCTGCACTCTTCCCACTCCTCATTTAGGTTTTCATGTTTTAGTCTGTTTTCTAGTTTGATGCTTATATTTTCTTTGTCTAGGTCTATCGTCGTCAAAAAGAGTTTGTATGTATTTTTCCTCTCTCTAGTTTGTTTCTGTACCCATAATTATTTCGTTACTGTCATTTTCAATATTGTTGCTTGTCTCTTTTTGTGTCTACCTGTCATTTCTTTTACTTTTTTATGAATATTAAAGGTGACGTATTTTTCCTGAAGTTGTTCGATTTCTAGGCATTTTGTTGACATCCAGTTTTCTTTCGCCTCCCTGCACTTTTTTCTACTGATTTTATTGATTCGCTTGTATTCTATTGGACTTGTTTTATGTTTTCGTCTTACGTCCATGAGGTCCATGATCTCTTGCGTTATCCATTCTTGTTTTTTGTTGTGTTTTATGAACGCGATGTCTTCTTTTTGTATCTTTGTTATTTTTGTTTTTAGAGCAGTCTATGTTACTTCAATGTCTGTCTGTACCAAGTTTTCGATCGTTTTTATTTCTTCCTCAAGCTTGATACTTATTTTAATTGATATTGATTTACTTGATATTTAATTTTATATCCAAAATTAAATAATTATGAAAAATTTTTAAATCCCAACACCTGGATTGCTGTTATTTTTTTAACATCAAAGTTTTTTAATCTTTTGGCTGTAGTAATACTATGTATAACTAATATTGTTTCATGGTACATTGACATTTTGTTTTCGACACCGTTCATAGGTATCTTGTCAATCAGTTACCAGCTGTAGTCCGTTGGAAGAGGTTTACTCTCCGGACGCTGGAACTCACCTAAGACATGGGTGTATGTTACCTAAAGTTAAATTTAATTTAATATTAAACATCAAATATTAATTACAACATTATGTACAATCTTCTGTAACCTCAAGTATTTTAAAGGGTTTTTACCCTGATATTTTGGTGGCTCAGCCATGTTAACTTGTAAGTATAACCATTTTTGCTTTTTTTTAACCTTAGTCAAAATTTCAAACCACGTTTGCTTTAACTAAATGGTTTATACTTATTTTAGGCATTTTTAAACCTGATGATGGAATTATTATTCCGAAAACGTTTGTGTAATTTCATGTAGCCCTTTTAAGGGTTTTTTAAATATACCCATTTACAAAGATCTAACCCCTTTTTGTGATACGTGGTCTGCAGCCAGCTGCAGGAATAATTTTCCTTGTGGATTTTGATACTTATTTCTTTTTTCTGTTCAGCGTTCTTCAGTTGTGAGATGTCTATTTTTCTTGTCACTGTTGTTTTTACTTTAAGAAATCTTTTTAATCTAAAATCCATTATGAATGGATTGTGATCGCTAGTTATCAGCTCCAGGTATGTTTTCATATATTAATGTACTTCTAAAGTGTTTGAGCAAATGAAGTCAATTTGATTTCTAACAATTCTGTCTTTTCTGTCTGCAAGTGATTTCCATGTGTATAGCCTGAAGAAGAAGAATGTATTGGCTATTAACAGATTGTGTTCTACGCAGAATTGTACGCTCGAATCTATCTCGCAGAATTGAACGCTCTATCTTACGCTCAAATATTCTCAGAAGTCTCATCCTTCTGCGTAGAATCCATGTTTCCGCCCCGTATGTGAGGACCGGCCTCAGCAGTCTTTGTATATAATAATTTTAGTTTTTCTTTGGATATTTCTTGAGTGGAATTGTTTTTGGTGTCCATAGTATGCCCTATTTGTAAGGTTTTATATATCGAATCCAATTATCGATAATTATCTCCCTGTATCCTAACGCTGGCTTTTAAGGTAGACATTGTCATTCTCGTTACTCGGATAAGTTTTTCTGGTATACCAAACTCACGCATTGCTTGGTATAGTACTGTTCTCTTGACACTGTCGTATGCGGCCTTGAAGTCGACGAATAGGTGATGGGTTTCAATGTTAAATTCTAATGTTTTCTTGTGGATCTGTCTTGTTGAATGAATCTGATCAATTGTTGATTTTTCTGGAGTAAATCCGGCCTGGTATTTTCCACCTATGTAGACTTGTAGCCTTTCGTAGAGAATATTTGCTAGTATTTTGTAAGCAGTTATTAACAGGGTTATACCTCTGTAGTTGTCATCTAGGAGCTGATCACTATTTTTTATGTAACGGGCATATCACGCCTTGAGAGCATTCACAGGGCATGGTCTCATTTTGCCAGACAAGAAGTAAAAGTTTAAGCAGTGCTTGTAGCAGGGCGTCGCGACCATTCTTGTAGGACTCACTACAAATTTGATCAGTTCCTGGTGCGTTATTATTTTTAAGCTTTTTAATGGCTTAGGCAACCTCTTCAGTGGTAGGTGGTCTTTCGTTTGGGTTGAATAGATTCCAATCATTTCGATCTGCTACGGTGTTACCTGCTACTTCGATATAATGGCCGTTAAATTTTGCGTTGAAAAATTCAACTCATAAGTTTTATACATCAGATAGAATAATTCAGTCGTCAGAAACGAAAATGTCACTGAACCTCTAAAAATCATACGACCAACTTGAATTTTGCTGAAAGAGTCAATTTTGGGACTCCAAAAAGATGCAAAAAAACTTCGCCACTCCTCCTCCCTGGGTTTCCCCCTAACACGTAAAGATATACTGTGTATTATTAATAAAGAAATATATTAGGACCGTATTAAGGGAGAAATATGTTTTGGCGATATGTTTCAAGGCTACGCAAAGGATATCGAATTTTTACCGTCGCGATGATACAATTTTATTTAAAAAATTGATTTCGCTCGTGTAGTGATATTCAAAATCGATGACAAACCTTTTTGCATCTTTTTGGAGCCCCAAATTGACAGTCTTAGCAAAATTCAGCTTGTTCGTCTCGTTTTTACAGATCAAATCTCTGACGACTGGACTAAATGGCAAAATATAATTTGGAAACAAATCAAGCCTTTCAAGCCAATATTTTAGCACAAATTGCTCAAGAACTTATTCTAAATGGTCCTTTATTGAACTGATTTACTTGTAATTATTTGTGGTCGTGTTGAAAAATGATGATTTACACAATATTGCAAGCTCTACAGACTTGTGCTATTATAACTTCTTGTATACAAACTTCTGTTTTGTTGAAACATCAAGAGTATTGAATATTGTACAATATTCAATAAGTAGATGATAAAAACTCCCATTTGCAACTTAGCAGTGTTTCTAAGCTACTATAATAATGGTGTAATATATTGCTGAATTTTGATGAAAGTCAGGGTTCAGTTAACAAAAGTTTTTTTTTCTGTTTATGAATTTCCTTAATTGTTTTCTAGCTTGTGTGGAATCACCAGCAGTCAATGAATTGGCTGGATAACTAGAGTGCTTGAATTAGATGAATAGTTTGTCTGGGGCATCCAGTTTACTACAAAAGTCTACCCAAAGAACTTGGAACTGTGTGCTAAACTTTGCAAATTTAATTTGGAGTACTATATATACAAGTCAATTAACAATGCATGAATCTAGAAAGAGATATCATTCCCATTCTAGATCGAGGTCAAGATCACACTCCAAGGACAAAAGTTATGATCGTAAAAAGTTAAAAAGTCATGTGAATGGAAAAGAGCGTGAAGGAAAGCGGAGGAAGGTTGATGCGTTTGATAGTCCATCATATAAGAAGTCTGTTAGCAGTCAAAGGGCTCATAGATCAAGGCAGTATGAAAGAGGAACTAGTGGGGAACGCAGGTACAAAAGAAGTCGCAGAAGGTCTCGCACGTCTAAGAAACATCGTCACTACCATGATAAGAAAAAGCACAAGAAATCCAGTTCTTCAGAGCAGCAGGCATCAAGAATTGTGTCAGTCGAAGATGATGATGAGGGGCATCTTATTTATGAAGCAGGAGATACAATTAAAGGCAGGTACAAAATTTTAGGTACACTCGGAGAAGGTACATTTGGTAAGGTAGTCAGAGTAAAGGATATGGAAATGGATCATTACATGGCACTTAAGATCATCAAAAATGTTGAAAAGTATAGAGAAGCAGCCAAATTGGAAATAAGCGTTTTAGAAAAGTTGGCAGATAAGGATCCAAGTTGTGAACACCTTTGTGTGAAAATGTTGGACTGGTTTGATTACCATGGACATATGTGCATTGCTTTTGAAATTTTAGGCTTGAGTGTCTTCGACTTTTTGAAGGACAATAACTATCAACCGTATCCATTAGAGCAAGTACGAGATATAGGTTATCAGTTGTGTTATGCAGTAAAATTTTTACATGATATTAAGTTGACGCATACTGATCTTAAGCCCGAAAATATTTTATTTGTGGATTCAAGCTATGATATAGTATACAATAATAAAAAGAGAAAGGATGTAAAGAAAGTGAAAAGAACTGAAGTACGTTTGATCGATTTTGGCAGTGCTACTTTTGATCATGAACATCACAGTACAATTGTTTCAACTCGTCATTATAGAGCTCCAGAAGTTATATTAGAATTAGGTTGGGCACAACCTTGCGATGTTTGGTCAATAGGGTGTATTTTGTTTGAGCTATATTTAGGTATAACACTTTTCCAAACTCATGATAATAGAGAACATCTTGCAATGATGCAAAGAATTCTAGGGGAAATCCCGGTTAGAATGGCTAAAAAGACCAAAACCAAATATTTTTATAGGGGCAAGTTAGAATGGGATGAAAAAAGCTCGGCAGGGAGATATGTAAGAGATAACTGTAAACCTTTATTAAGATATAAACAACATGATGATACAGATCACAATGCATTATTTGATTTAATCTTTAAAATGTTAGAGTATGAACCCACTGAAAGAATTCTATTGGGTGACGCTTTACAGCATCCATTTTTTGATAAAATCCCGTCCCACCTTAGATTACATGAGCACAGAAGTAGTAGTTTCAGAAGAGAAAGAAGTGGTTCTACATGATTGTGATTATCTTACAGTCCTAATATTTAGGTATTCAAAATTTACAATTTGGGAAAGCTTTTAGGTATTTCAATTACTTTTATCTAAATCATCATAACAGATGTTTAAGAAATTAATATATTGAATGAAATCAAAATCTAATATAGTGTTTCTGATCTGTGACTATCAAATAAGTGCCCCTGTTTTTTTTTTCAATAAGCATCTGTGCACAATGATTAATAGAATATATTATTCTCTATGTTTTCTGATTTATATAGTTTGTAAGAAAATGACCTGTAATGAAATATGCTAAAATATGTTCCCATTTTGTTTTGAATTTATTTATTTATTTATAAATAAAAAAATCTTTGAAATAACCGTAAAATGCAAATTAGAGTATATTGTATTGATTTACGTAAAAACAATCAATAATTGATAAAAACATTTTTCATAATAGGTTGACATTGTTACTTTTAAATGCTCCCAAATGGTAGTAGTCATAACTTCATGTATTAAAAAATATTTTCAAAAATTCTACTGAAAGTATATTTGGGATAGTCTAGAAGACATGTTTAAACCAATTTGAATAGATTGTATATTATTTGTATATCTCTTTTTTCTGACCATTGGGAATCTTCTATGCGTTACTTGAAGTAATTTGTTATGCACTGATCTAAGTAACTATGTTATATTATCTATATTGTTATTAATATAATTATTTATGTATATGTCCGTATTTATGGGTGAATATATAAAGAGGGAAAATAACTCGCAAATATCGAATCATTAGCTCATCTACAAATATAACTGTTTTTGCTTATTAAAGAAAAAGGCACATTATCAGATGCTTTTTTATATTCAGTAGTCAAGATTGTGCAAACCTAAGCTAATATTTAAAAATATCTTCTGAGAACATCCCTTAAAGATTCTATTTAAATAGCATATGATCCCAGCAAAATTGTGGTTCGTTGTAACACAATATACGAAATAGAGAGCTTGTACGAAAGGTAAAATCGTATCCTTCTCTTTTATCTACTTAAATTGATTTAATTGGTTTTCTTGACACAAATTTTTCTTCTTTAATTGTCAACTTTGATATTTGACATTAAAATTTTAATGCAATGTTTTTTTTTTTATTAATTTTAAACAATTGTTAGCAGCTTCACCTAATAGGCCAATTAAGTTAGGTATTTACTCGACACAACTGTTTAGACGGGTTTGACAGTTGAAATGTGTATTATGAGATTCATCATTTTTTGTGGAACTATTCTTAACCCGGCGTCACATACGTGGATTTTTCTGTCATTAGTACATATATGGGGTGTGACAAACCCCAATTTCTAAGAAAATCAGAATTTTTTCGTGCAGTTTTTTTATATGTTTTCTAATTTCATGGTCTGAAGTGATCATCTAAGGACTATTTAAGCAAAAAAGAAATAATCAGAACACCTTTATTCAAAAGAAATTAAAAATAAACTAATAATAGGCAATTCTCCATAAGCAAAAACCACAACTTAACTGAACAATCTTACCAAAAAATATAAACACCATATGATCAAAAATACAATAGTAAATGAAAATCTAATAGTAAGATAATACAAGGAAAAACTCTGCCCGATTGTACAGTGAAAGAAAAAAAATTAATCGCTATTTGAATTCATGTAATTTTGACAACTTATGACAGCATGCTCCTGGCACAGTAATGATTCACAGTTTGAACAGAAATATTTAGTTTTCCGATCTCGGCTTCTTTTACATACTGAACATCTTCCCATGAGTTTTGGAATCTTGGCAGGTGGCAATGCAGGGGCATCTTGGCCAAAATGTGCAATGTTTTGACGAATACTCCTTGGTATTCTTGGATTATTTTTTCTTTCAGATATGTGGTCCTGGATCAATTCAAAGCCCAACATTTTGATAAACAATCTTCTGGCAAGTTTGAAATCTTGATTGTTTTCTCTGTATATCACCAAAGCATTTATGGCGGCTGTATTCAAGAGAGAAAACACGATCGTAAGAGGCCATCTCCGTGAGTTTCTAGATACGTTATATGATGCAGACAGTTCATCCACTACATCTACTCCACTTTTAGTAAAGTTGTAGAAGCTTATTATTTCTGGCAAATTTTTATCGCCAGTTGCTTCATCAATAGCTCCATCATGGTGCATGGTGGACAACAGTAGGACGTTTTTATTATTTTTTTTTTTCGGCACATACGATAAAAGTGTAATATCTTTCTAAAGGCCAAATAAAGATGTCATTTGTTCTCTGTTCTGGACTGTCAAAAATTGTGCTGGGATGCATCGTTTGTTCTTTCTCAGCGTGCCTACTGACGTAAGTTTATGCTCGTTCAGCAATTTTATCATTAATTCATAACTAGTGTACCAGTTGTCAAAGGTCACATTTCGGTTGGAACCAGAAATAGGTTGTATTAGCCTCTCTACTATATCTATTGGGGAATTACTAACACTGTAGGGACCTTCTGGCTGTTTTCCTGCATACACTTCCAAATTTAAAACGTAGTACGAACGGGCATCAACTAGGGCTTGCACTTTGATCTCATACTTTGCAGGCTTGTTGGGCATGTACTGTTTGAAAGCACATCTTCCACGAAAAGACTCCAACTTCTCATCTATCGTCACATATTGAGAAGGAGTGTAGGCCTGCTTACAATTTTCAATAAATTTGTCCAGAATTCCACGAACTGGAGCTAATTTGTCAATCGCCAATCTGTCTTTACGATTCTCGATGTTATCGAACCGAAGACAGACCATCAGGAATTGAAAACGATTTATAGACATCGTATTGCGGAATATATCGACACCAGTCCCATCTGTTTGCCATAAGTCTCTCAAATTCTGACGATTAGAATGAAACATACCTGCTAAATAAAGAAGTCCGATAAATGCTTTAATTTCACATTCATTGGTTGGTTTCACCATGCATTTATTTTGATATGCAATTGATTTTTGTTGAATTTTGAGATTGGTCCAGCGCACTATGTCTTCGATCATTTGTCGGTCAAAAAACAATTGCCAACAATCTAAAGCACGTTTAGCATTTTTTGCATAATGCTTCACACCCGGCAAATGAGTAATAATGTTCTCTGATCTTGTTCGAACCCGTTTATTATTTGAAGCAAGTTTGTTCCATTGTGTTCCGTCTTTTCCGAGATACATTTCTTCGTTTCTTGGAGGTCCGTCAGTGCTTTTATTTTCCGTCTCATTCTGAAGTTCTGTTTTTGATGTCTCCATGTCTGAATCTCCGTCAGAAACTACATCTTCTATTGCGATATCCTGCTCCGAGTCGGTGTTGTGGTCGGTTTCAGAGATATGGTCAATATCATCATCGCTTCCCGATTCGATGGCATCGTCATCAATTTCAGCCCATAGAGCTTCAAGCTTTTTCTGTTCCGCTTCATATGACATGATATTTTAGCTAAAAAATTAAACAATTGAATATGCAGATTCAAATACGTCAAAAATAAAAACTTACTTATATGTCAAAATTGCAAACGCGAGTACATAGGTGGGGTTTGACACACACCAGGTTTTGATTGTTAATTTAAAAATATTTCCACTAAAACATTGAGGAATCCCTAGATAAGCATCTTTTTGAAATATCTCATACTACACACGTCAAGTGTCAAACCCGTCTATACAGTTGTGACAAAAAAGGTTATTTTTACCAACTTGATTGGTCTATAAAGTAAACTTTTTTTAAATCAATTTAAACCTTGACCCCATTTGGCAGACAGAAATTCGTGAAACTTGTATTTAAAACTAGTTTTGAGTATTTTTTAATATGTGTCTGTGAATTTTTTTGTTTTGCCATTACAAGTATAAAATGTTTTTACTTTAGCTGGTCTAGATTTATGCAATTAATTGTTGTTTGGTACTATGTTTGTAGAACATAATAATTTTGATATTTTTTTACAGCTAGGTGGTAGGACATTGACTCAGTGTAAAAAATTTCATGATTATATTTTATAAAGACTGAAATTTCAAATTTTCGTTTTACTTGTATTTTGTGGAGATTTGCTTTACTACTAAAATCAGAAAATATACATACATGCCTTAGAATACTAATAAGAAACATTGACTATATAGCTCAGTCATTTGGTAAAAAAAAGGGGGTTAGCCTGGCAAGTTTTCCGGGAGTTTTGAAACTTGGTAATTTTATAGATTTTGATATGATCTTTCCGAAATTAACTTTGCCACTGGTACGTCAAAATCAATAGTTTTGGCGTATCAGTGCCACAAAGTGTTATTTATCTACACCACCACGTTTTTTTTGTATTGTATTTTTTTTTATTTAAATTACAGCCAACTACACTCTACTAACGAACTGCTACGCTACATGAATACACAAAATGTCGATTGTAAAAAAGAATGGATCAAACGTCGCCGCATTTAAAGCGTTCTACAATATGTATTACTGCTACCTATACCTTATCGTTTCATTTGCAAGGAGTTAAAATAATATATTCAACCATTTTAAATATTGGAGGAATCAAAAAGCATAAAACACTGAAAAGCAGAGGGCAATATTATTTTTGTTAATGGTTGATAATTAAAAAAAATTGTTCATAACATCGAGTCAAAACAAGCATGTAACACAATTCACAGACGGCGGAATACGTTTTGTGGAACTGACCAGACTTAAATAGGATAAGGCTCAATTCGTTTGAGCGTTATCAACTCTACGACTTTGTTAAAGGACAACTTTAAACTAGGGATGAGCCGCAGAAGGGTGGTTAAGCTCCTACTTATATTGAACCTAACGTAACAATTCAACAATTAGTATTCTAAACGTTTAGTATTTTTCTGTAATGAGGAAATTCTTCCCTTCTTTAATATTTGAATGTAAATACTATAACCAGAAATTTCCAAAATGACAAGAAAAACTAGGACAAAAGGCACTAAGTCTTCATACAAATAATATATTGAACTGAAATGTTTTTAATACTATTTTTACTTAATTAATATTGATAGTATGTAATTAAATTTGACGAATTTCTTGTTCTTATAACTATTTATGTAAATAATCCAATCGGTACTTAAAAATTTCAGTCTTTTAAATTTAGTGTTCTTTTAAAATACTGTCATATTAGATAACATACTTACGATGTAAGCATTGTAAAGTTTAAAATGCTAAGGATTAGGGAAAGCTGAATCCTTGTTTGGAATCATCCTTAATTAATAATTATTTCCCTAATTCTTTCAGT